ATTAAGTTAGAAATCAGTGAACAAAAGAAAACTAGAACATCTCTGTATATTTGGAAATTAAGAAATGTTTCTGTGTAACCTATTGGTACAAAAATGCACATTTGAAAATATTTTTGAAATGAAAATTTGAATGGCATTAAAACTTGACAGATACAACTAAAATGTGTGTTATATATATAGTCTGAAAAGGGGGCTGAAAAATCAATCATCCAAGCACAAGTCAAAATTTAAAAACAGTATCAACTTCTATCAAAGAAAGTAAAGGAAAAGATAAAGATTAGAACAAAAAGTAATGAAGTAGAAGACAAGCATGCAGTTGTTAAGGTCCACAAAGCCAAAAGTTGGCTCTTTGAAAAGGCTAATAGAATTGGTAAAACACCTGGTAAAACTGGTCAAGAAAAATGGAGAAGCAGATGCAATCATGGTTCTGATGGAAAGGGGGGATGTTACTCAAGATCCTGTGGCCATCAAAGAAGTAGAAAGAAGATGTTTTTAGTTATTAAAGGAATTAAATCTACACCAGAAATTGATACATTGTAAACTGACTATATACTTCAATAATATATATATATTTTAAAGGAATTTAAATTTAAATCTATTTAAAACATTCAAAAGAGAAAACTCCAGACCCATATGATGTACAAGTAAATTGTACCAAACATCAATCTAACACAAATTTTTTTCTGGAGACTAGAAAAATAAGCAGTACAGCCTAACTTATTTTACAGGATCAGCATTACTTCAGAACCAAATGCCTAAAAAAGTGTTATGTAAGAATTGAAAACTCTAGGTCAATCTTACTCACAAACAGATGCAAAAATCCCAAACAAGTGAATAAAGGAATAAACAACATAAAAATCAAAAAGGAGAAATTTTAACTTGTCATTTTTCCAAAATTTTTATACAGAAAAATACATGTAAGTCCACATAAAAATTATTAGAATTAATTTTTTAGCTTAACCAGGTTGCTGAATAACAGGTAAATATACCAGAATTAATTCTAAGAATTGCAACAAACAAAAAATGCATTTTAAATAAAAATATCATTTACAGTATCAAAAATATCAACTACTAGGAAAAAATGTAACTTAATATGTTTAAGACTTTTATACAATAAAATACTGAGAGAAAATTCAGAAGTCCTTTATGAACAGAGAGATAGACCATAATCTTGAATTGAAAGACTCAGTATTAAAAAGTTCTCCCCAAACTGATGTAAATCTTCAGTGCAATTCCAATATGAATCTGAGCATTTTTTGTGGAAATTGTTGAGCTGATTTCTCCAGTTTATATAGAGATTCCAAGGACCAAGAATAACTGAATTACTCTTAAAGAAGAGGAGGGTAGGGTAATCGCTCTGCTGAATATCAAGATCTTTCATGAAGCTATGTAACAGAAAGCAACTTAGTATTGGTACCAAAACAGACATATAGACCAATGGAACAGAATAGAGAGCCCAGAAATGAACCCACAAACTTTTGGTCAACTAATCTTCGACAAAGGAGGCAAGAATATACAATGGAATAAAGACAGTCTCTTCAGCAAATGGTGTTGGGAAAACTGGACAGCAGCATGTAAAACAATGAAGCTAGAACACTCCCTTACACCATATACAAAAATCAACTCAAAATGGATCAAAGACTTAAACATAAGACAAGATACAATAAAACTCCTAGAGGAAAACATAGGCGAAACATTATCTGACATACATTTCAAAAATTTTCTCCTAGAAGAAATAAAAGCAAGAATAAACAAATGGGACCTAATGAAACTTACAAGCTTCTGCACAGCAAAGGAAACCAGAAGTAAGACAAGAAGACAACCTACGGAATGGGAGAAAATTTTTGCAAGTGAAACCGACAAAGGCTTGATCTCCAAAATATATAAGCAGCTTATATGACTCAATAAGAAAAAACTAAACAACCTAATCCAAAAACGGGCAGAAGACCTAAACAAGCAATTCCCCAAGGAAGACATACAAATGATCAAAAAGCACATGAAAAAATGCTCAATATCACTAATTATCAGAGAAACGCAAATCAAAACTACAATGAGGTATCACCTCACACCAGTCAGAATGGCCGTCATTCAAAAATCCACAAATGACAAATGCTAGAGAGGCTCTGGAGAAAGGGGAACCCTCCTACACTGCTGGTGGGAATGCAGTTTGATGCAGCCACTATGGAAAACAGTGTGGAGATTCCTCAAAAGACTAGGAATAGACTTACCATATGACCCAGGAATCCCAGTCCTTGGCTTGTATCCAGAAGGAACCCTACTTCAGGATGACACCTGCGCCCCAATGTTCATAGCAGCACTATTTACAATAGCCAAAACATGGAAACAGCCTAAATGTCCATCAGCAGGTGACTGGATAAAGAAGATGTGATGTATTTATACAATGGAATACTACTCAGCCATAAAAACTGACAACAATGCCATTTGCAGCAACACGGATGCTCCTGGAGAATGTCA